TATCTCGCAAACTAGTGGCCTGGAAAATGTTGGGGGACGAGATAGCAATGAATGTTGCGTCACATAATGCACGGATGGTGAAAGACCCACTTGTTGTCTTTGTCATATTTATATGAAGAAGGTTTATTAAATTATATTTATGATTATTTTTACAAAAGCTGTCTTAACTTAATACATAGCATAAATTATAATGAAATATTAATAAATTTAGCATAGATGATAACAAAACGTACGCTGTGATATTAACACCAAACTTATATTACTTCTGGCTAAATTACTTGATTAAATTACTGATGTTTTAAATTACTAATGTTTTTAAATGTGAGAATTTAATTAAATGATTTTTAAGAGATTTTATTGTATTGTAGAGATTAGATTTTGCATACATTGTGCTCTTTGTGTTACAATGCATACATTGTATTTATATTTTCTTCAATGCAATGTGGACATATTTCCTTAAAAACAAGTTGCAAGCGTAATGAACGTGAACTACATGTAAAAAAAAACAAATGAGCTCATGATATAATAATTTTTACTATATTAAATTATTGTATAAAGCTCTACGAAACGTTTAAAGATGTCTATGCTACAAGACTTGAAAGTTAAATGCAAGATAATGGCGAGAATTTAGAGACATTAAACGCGATACAAAAAGATTTAAGTGAGAGTGCTTCGACCATTTCTCATGGTCGGTTTCAGGTTCCTGGGTTGTTAAGCTCTGACTAACACAGTTGTTACAGTTTAACGGTTCAAGTATTATAACGTGTTTTTGGATCACGAAACATATTAATTCTCGAAAAGCGCTGACGCGCAAGTCGTGCTTACTATTACAGCTTTCTCTTCACTTCTCCCTCCCTGTACTACCATTTCTTTGTTTTATCCTACTCCGCCCTTCTTTCCTCTCTTTTTATATTTGCTTAATGTGTTCACGTGTATTTTTCGAAGTGCCTCGTTTTGTACTGAGAACATTAAAGATTCATTAATCAAATATTATAGAACAGTATTATAAATGTATGCGCTACGATGAATATCATCAAAATAGAGTTGCAAGTTTTGTTGAGTTCAACGTGAGTAGTCTCCTATGGCAGCTGAATGTTCCTTGAAATAGTGTGATCTTAATGGTTACTCGTATGGATTTAGATAATTAACTATTTCCCTTTGCGATGAAATATAATGGAGTTTATTTTTTATGACTTTTTATTCAGAATGAGTATGTGCACCTCGCATAGTTCCTCTTCCAGATAATTTGTTGATGCCAAATTATGGCCTAAATATTGTGATAGCTGTAGTGATACATGTAGTACTTTTAAGAAAATGTATATTATTGAAACACAATACATTGTGAATTGCGGTAACTTTAGAAAAAAACTTGCAAATAAAATGCAAAATATAGTAATATAACACTTAATATTTACATTAAACTAACTTTGAATTTTAAAAGCAAAGGGAATTATCTTCTCTTTCATTTTATAATTTTAATTATATGTTGAGTACCTATTAGGTTAGCAAAAATAATAGCTACAATGAATCACTATTAAAAAAATGACGTGCACAAGAGGAGTTCCTGGGAATAGCCCAGGCGCGTTAATTTTTCCCTCACAGCAAATTACGAAATATTGCAGGAGACACATACTATTTGGACGTCAGTACTACTGCATTTACTGAAACAGATGCCTGGAAGGAACTTCAAGTCAAAATCAATCAAAATAATTTCATAATCAATCATTAACAAAGAGAATAAGGAAGAGGTGTAGATGATTTAGAAGAAATATTTTGAAAGCCTTCTTTTCTGCTTAAGTTTCAATTTCACTTTATACACATTACAGTTTTTAAATTAAATTTATGAACTCATCTTTATTCTTATTAGGAGGTTAAAGGGGTTGATAGAATAAAAACCTCGGGGCGTTATCTTCCAGTATCTGCCACTACCGCAATTGCTGCCGCTACCGCCGCCGCCCCGCTAGTCGTCGTCACAACCACCGCCGATACCATCACCATAACCGTCACTCTGGCCACTACCACTTCCATCGTCTTCGCCGCCGCCTCCTCAGGCGTGACCACGCCCTCTTCAGGCGTCGCCACAGCCACCAACTGAGCTACTTCCTCTGTCACCATTGCAGCCACCACCCTTTCAGGCGTCGTCACAGCCACCAACCGTGCTCGCCTTTGCCGCCACCGCCTTTGCCATCACCACCACCTCCACCGCGGCCGCCGCTTCCTCAGACGTCACCACAACCGCCGGCGGTGACACCACCACTTCCACCGCCTTCGCCGCTGCCTACTCAGGCGTCACCACAGCCCCTTCAGGCGTCTTCACAGCCATCGACCGTGCTCGTTTTTACCGTCACCGCCTTTACCATCACCACCACGCGGCGATGGTGTAACGGTTAGCGTATCGTTATTGACTGTTATACCCAAGTTGGCGGGTTCAAACCCGATCGAAGCCGTGGATTTTTAAGGGCGAAAAAATCCTTCGTACGCCTTCCTTCGGAGGTGAAGTAAAGCCGGCTGTCCCATGTTAGTAGATTTACTTGCATTGAAAATATCCCGCCTTAAATTAATGACTCTGATGATCTCGCGCTCTAAATTCAAATCGCCTATTTCTTGCCCAAGAAATACCTTCTTTCTCTACTAGTTGGTGAAATCGTAGCAACATTTGCGTGGCCAGACGGTAGAGCATGGCCTGAGTCTCGCCACGTAAAATAAGGCATTAATTAATTCAATTCACCACCTTCACCTCCACCGCCTTTGCCATCACCACCAACTCCACCGCGGCCTCCTCAGGCTCCTCCTCAGGCGTCACACCACGATCACCGACCTCTTGCCATCACCACCACCTCCACCACAGTCGCCCCTTGAGGCGTCGCCTCAGGTACCAACCGTACCAACCGTGCCACCGTCGCCGACGTCCCCTCAGGCGTCGCCCACCGCCGAGCCGCCGCCGGCAACCGGAAGTCCTTACAGCCGACGTATACAAGCAGCGCCGCCCATCCCAGAGTGTGTTCTTGGCAATGCGGGAAATTTGTTTCTCCTTATCGCTGGTGATCGACGACCTCGATGGCCTAACAGGTTCGTTACTTAAACGGAATGCTTGGTCGCGAATGTTGTTGGTTCTAGCGGCAGAGCTAAGAGGGCGCCGGTGCTGTTTCTCCGCATATTATTTTGTGGCTCGCTCGCCACGTAAAAAATGTATAAATTGCTCCACTTTTTAAATTCGAAATATATTCCCCCATTCGTAATATTTTCTTAATTATTTGCAAAACTCTAACATTCTATTTAATGATAGAGGAGCATTTAAAATCATCGGGAATGAGTTTAAGTATTCGTTGGGACGAGATGCGTAACAAGTGGTTAGGGGTGGCTCCCCCCCTATTTTCATCACTTCTGTTGTCAACCAATTACCTCATTTCTATAAGATACGTTCAGTGCGTATACTATTATAAGGCATGTCTACGTATATCCTTAGTATGTTTCCTTCGTCATTGCTTCCGCTTAAGATAGTGCAGATATTCTGGACAGTGTAATCAATCCACGTGATCCATTTCTTTTCTATTATTTCAAGTGTACTTATTGGTGAGTTAATATAATCTGAATCTATAACATAGAGCATAATACAGAGCAAATTATTAGAGCATTGTTTCACTGTTTGGTAATTGCCATCCCGTGGTGGTAATTGCCATCCCGTGTCATATCACGGGATGTGGTGGTGTGGCTTCACCGCTGAAAGCTGCGATCCGTCGCCGCTCTACACATCAGCTTGTGAGTTTCCTCCTCCAAGTATCTCCCCAGCGGGGCATTGACCAAGCAGGAATGTATCTCAGAAAATTTTTAAAAATGGACATATGTTCTTATGTGCTTGGTTACAGTTATTTCTAGACTTTGGGTGGCATGTGTATATGATAGAAAAATATTCGAAAAAAAAAATGGGTAAAGAATCATGTTCCAAAGTTTGCTAGATCATTGAAGAAAATTTTAGAAGCAAATGACATCTTTGCGTGCAGTTATGTTTATTCCCTTCCTTTCATGGCTATTGGCCTGTGATACACTTGCGAAGTTATGTGTTAATATTGTTTGTAGGGCTTGAATTGTGACGAGACGACGCAATGACAAAATATTCATGCCCGAATCGTACGTGGCCATCTAGATACGGTATACCAGTTGACCACAGTAAGACAGTGGTTGAAAATATTCATTGCAAATTATTCTTAAGAAGAAGGGTTAAATTGGCATCTCATGTCCTAAATGCGAGGTGTTTTATTGGAAATGCTCACTTGGGATATTGTTGTTATAATCATGTTACATCTATAGTCTTGAAGAAATCACTTTAAGAAATGTCTTAATTCAATATCGCCAATAGTTGTAAAGAAGTTGAAAATATGATCAATATTTTTAGACAGGAAATTTAAAAAATGTCGATTGCTCTATCATACTCGCTAGGTCTTCACATCCAGCATATTGGGAATTTACCTTTTCCGTGCTACCATTCCTTTACATTCAATAAAAGCTGGGTTCACGTCTTCGAAGGACGTCTATCCATTATGTCTTAAAACTTTTGAATAAAAAAGTTTATACTACTTTCATTTAATTAATTTACAATTATCCACATTGAAATTTTATTTTACGAAAATTACGACTTGGAAAAAGTACCCACCCACTATCCACGATCCCCAAGATATCGTAAAAATTTCACGGTAAAAGTAAATGTTTCGATAACTCATTTTAAGACCCCATAACCAATAATAAACCATTGAACCCAAAAATAGCGTTATGTGAATACGTAATGTACAACTTCAGGGGCAGCACCTTCTCGTTACAGCACTGCATAAACCAATTAGTGGAAAAGTATAAGTGGTAAAAGCAAATGAAGCTTTTTATTTATTTGCGGAGCAACGCTAAATGTAACCCCGAGGCAGCTAATTGACGAGCTCTAAGCTTCAGCTCATGCCTAAAAAGAATATGCTCTTATATTACCCGTCTCTCTGGAAGAATCTAGCATTTGTCTAAACACTAATATCTAATTTTTCATCGTCTTCTTCTTCAGTAGTCTGAGAAATTAGTAGAAAGTGATAATTGTCTTACTATTGATTATTTTCGTGGTGTACTTTTATTTCGAAATACTGAATATACAAGAGGTATAGTGTGTATCACAATCTTAGATTAGAACTTCTATCACTATGCGATCATAAAAAGGTGCTTGCCGTTTAAAAAAATATATCTGATGTTACGATAAGTTTTATTCTAAGATTTTGATATATAATAGATCTCGTATATATTAAGTATTTATAATTAAATATTTTATTACATAGACGTCAGCCTTGTGATGAAAAGGAAAGAAGAACAATATAAAATCGAAATGTATGAATTATGTATTGAATTATAAATTAATACAATAAATCAAATTATTGTATTACGTTTCTCCTAATCTTGTGTTAAGATGCGAAGAATCATACCATCAATAAATTCGTTTAATGATATTTACGGACATGGTAAAAGGATGTTTCCAGTAAACAATTTTAGTAAAAAAATATGTATTAAAATATCGAAATCATCACTCTCAAACACCAATAGAAGTACGTGTTGCTTAAACATCACGCTACACTTAGAAACGTCTGTCACGATTCTTCCACGAATCTTCTGCAGAGCTAACGCTTCAAGGTTGCAGTTCCTGCAAGCCAATGGTGTTGCGCTGTGAGTAACTTTGGATATGATCTGCAGCTCTAAATAAACTTTCATTTGCTTAACTCATTAAAGAGCATACTCGATCTTGCAGCATGAGCCCATGTCAGTCGTCAGCCGTCATGCATTAATGTGTCGTACGTCGCAATTTAAACCATAAAATTTTTATTCAGTCTAGACAGCGTTATTGTGCAGCGAGAATTTCATGACATTCGGTTGTTTTTATCTTCTATTTATGTACGTATATATGGAGTAACCAAGAGCGAACTGGTTTAAGGCGTATCGCGCTGACATCGCTTTCGGTAGGCCTGGGTTCAATCCCCGAGCAATTTTCGAACATTGCAAAAAATTAACTTTGCCAAAGTAAAAAAGAATGATAGCTATTTTTTAGAAAATAAAATCTGATATAAAGAATTAAATATTTAAATAAAAGATTTTCACTTAAAGTTAAAACATCCTCTCCCCCAAACAACTCAAAAACGGCTCTAAATTTTTTCTTTAAGTATTTTCTACGGATAGAGACGAACGTTTCCATGGAAAGTAAGCTTGAAAAATGGCGCAAATATAATTTTCGTTCAACTCTCTGAATTTTCGAAACTTGCTGAAGTTAGAAAAAATGCACAATAAAACATGTATGTGCTGTTGTAGCAATACTAGTTTATTTCCGAAAATTCAAAATGTTCACTGAAAATAGAACCTACATCATTTTTAAAACTATACTTTGCTATCCGCAGAAAAAAAAATTAAAGCGGATTTTGAGAAAATAACTTCTTTGAAAATATCTGTATCTCATGCAAAATTATGCGAAAAGTACTAACAAAGTACTAACAAAATTGTACATGACCTTATTGTCTTTGTCGCATCAGATTTTATTTAAACGAATCTCTATCTTCTATATTATAGTCTTAGGAAATTTTGCAATTTCGACGAAAAAGGTTGGAAATTTTGCAATTTTCGATAATCTATAATTCAACAAAACTGCGACCTACTCCATGTTGAAGTGTAATTTGCTCTTGTCTGGAATAAAGTAAAATAAAAATAACAACATTGGAGTCACTTAAAAAAAAAAATTGAAAATGTTAAGGCTTAATGAACTGTACCCCCAGAATCAAAATATTCCTATCGAATTCGCTGGGTCTTGGGGGAATATCAATTGTGGAAAAAATTGCCTGAGCGGTTTAGGCTCAATTATTGCACACGGACGGACAGACACACCATTCCCCCTCAGCCAATTTTTCGGTAACAGTAATCTGCAAACCGTGGATTCGGAGTAGACGTGTTAAAGAATTTAATTTCTTATATATAGGAATAACTTTTTCGGTATCAGGGCCCCCAATAAATTGTTAATTCTGTTGAAAAATCGCCACTTTTTGCGGCAGCATTTCAATACTTTCTCTATACTACGTAAGTAGTATACTTTAGATTTTTTATACATTTAATAATTTTTAATATCTATTAAAAAGACAGTTGCCGGAACAACTGTCTTATTGACATGAAAAAAAGTACTTCACGCATGGAAATATCTAGCAGTAAGCAGACTGTCCCTTGATTTGTGTCCTCGACCTACGGTCTCGGCAAAAGTGTTCAATCTCGACAACGAAAAACACACACACTTCGCGTACTTAAAAAATGAAAATAACTTTTTGTTTTCTATCCTTACGTTTACCTGCATACGTGTCCAGTCATGAACAATACTACTTTTTTTTCAAAATGAATTTTCTGCAATCCATTTGACATAACTGAAGGCCACGCGAATTCAAAACGGATTTTGTTTGGGGTGGGGGACCACTTCATAATCAACGGTTGAATCACATTTTAATTTTTTCCCAAAATGTCTCAGTTTTTTTGGAATAGTTGAGGTAGACAATCGATTTTCATTAATTTCGATAATTACAAAAAATCCTTTTTCGAGCCTGTCTTTTATTCTCAATATTGAAATTAGATTGCAAAAAGTTCTTCTAAAACGTAGGATATTCTTCGATGAGAGGTGTTTAAAACATTTCAAGTACAGTTTTTTCAAAATGTTAGCTATTTGTGTTTAATCATATCGTATGAACGCATGACAGAATTTTCTCAAAATTGGCTCTTATGTTTTATTTAATCTTTTTTAAGAATAGAGTACAATTAATTAGACAGCTGGTGAGGTAGAAACTTTTTAATAATTAAATATGGTAAATTAAAAGTGTTGTCTGGTATCAAAAATTATTTTGCTAATGATCGTTTCTATCGCGTAGCGATCATCCTCAGAGCTTGCAGCATCCAGGCCGAAAAGAAAGTTCTGCAGAACTAAATATCGTAAAGAAACATCTTACCATTTTAGTGTTTAGTTGCATAATAATAATATTAATAGTAATAATAACAATGTAGAATAATTGTTATTCAAGGACTATAAACCAATTCGAGTTATATATTACTTTGACATTCAGTCCATGATGTTTTAAGATAGAATATTCAATCTCACGCAAAAATGAAAAGAAAAAAAAAATCGTACAGTAAAACATATCCTATTAACGTTCACCGATGTGTTGGGTACGAATATCCTGTTTGATATGTCATATACTTCTTTAGGACCGTGTTGTTTCTGGAATGTTCTCTTGAGTGTTCCCTTGATAACACCGAAAACGTTATTTTGAACGTATTATCTCCTGGACAGAAAAACTTTAATGGTGGTTAGATCTTATCTCAGATTCGTGAATCCGCGATTAAAAATGCGAATGTAACTGTATTAACAATAATTAAAAGCCACGTATCATGAACTCGAATTAGTAAATTACACTTTCAGTGATTTGCGTGTCATTCATACTATATTATACGTGACATTGGTACGAAATCAAATTCCACTATTTGTCGTGCCCTTACCATTCGTGTAAATTTGTAACAAATGCCCCTTTAGCGTCTGATAAAATTGCGGATTGAAGTAACTGTTGTGGGAATTCTGCCAATGAAATGGGGAAAATTTATTTTTTCGTCAAATTAATAGTACAGTTTTAAACGGTAGTTCAAGGTCGGAAGGAGGATTGTAATGGTGCTCAAATGTCGTATGAGCTGACTAATATGTATTTGGACTAACATTTCACTATAGAAGGCAACATTTCTTATGCAGCTCAGCAGGGACCGCATGGCCTTACAATGCCCCACCAGGAACCTTGACTTGAGCAAAAGAGCAACCTCGCGACTGGGAAACGGCGGCAAAAATGCGTCACCACGCGGGTTCCCAGGCGCGTCCTCTACGGCGGTGGTCCTCGCAGCCTCCTCCGCCTCCGGCATCCCCGCTGCCGTCGCCGCTGCTCCTGACACCCACCGCCCACTCTGTCATTGCCATAGCGGCACACTGCCCCCCTTCCCCTTTCGCATCTCTTCCCATCACTGTCCCTGCCCCTGCCTTCACGAACATGCCTTCCCCAGGGACTCGGTCGACCCCCACAGTAGCCCTCACGTCGGCCTCAACCTTCTCCCCTGCTACCGTTGCCACCCCCGCTTCCGCCTTCTTCGCCTCCGCCGCCATCACCACCATTCCCGTTCCCTTACGTATCCCTGTACCCTGACATGTTCCTGGTGGGGCATTGTAAGGCCACGCGATCCCTGCTGGGCAGCGTAAGAAATGTTGCCTTCTATAGTGAAATGTTAGTCCAAAGACATATTAGTCAGCTTGTACAGCATTTGAGCACCAATACAATCCTCCTTCCGTCCTTGAATTACCTTTTAAAATTGTACTAATAATTTGACGAAAAATATATTTTCGCCTTTTCATTGGCAGAATTCCCACAACAGTTACTTCAATCCGTAATTTTATCAGACGCTAAAAGGGCATTTGTTACAAATTTACACAAATGGTAAGGGCACGACAAATAATGGAATTTGATTTCGTACCAATGTCACGTATAATATAGTATGAATGACACACTTATATTTTGACGGAAAAATATATTTTCCCAATTTCATTGGCAGAATTCCCTCAACAGTTACTTCAATCCGCAATTTTATCAGACGCTAAAAGGGTATTTGTTACAAATTTACACGAATGGTAAGGGCACGACAAATAGTGGAATTTGATTTCGTACCAACGTCACGTTTAATATAGTATGAATGACACACTTATAATTTGGCGGAGAAATATATTTTCCCAATTTCATTGGCAGAATTCCCTCAACAGTTACGTCAATCCGCAATTTTATCAGACGCTAAAAGGGCATTTGTTACAAATTTACACGAATGGTAAGGGCACG